GCTCCGGGTTTGGACGGGCTGCCGGCAGAACTCTTCAAATGTGGTGTCATCGAACTTAAAACCAGGATTTTAAGGATGCTCTTATCATTCACATATTCAAACGGAAAGGGAATCGTTCATGCTGTGATGATCACAGAGGCATTTCTCTGCTATCGATTCCTGGAAAAATATTGGCCCGCGTGATCGTCAATGATGTTGGTATCCTTCCAGAGGGTCAGTGTGGCTTTCGGACTGGTCGTGGTACTATGGATATGATTTTTACCGCCAGACAACTTCAAGAAAAATGTCGTGAGCAACAACGCGAACTTTTCTTCGTCTTCATAGATTTAACAAAGGCGTTCGATTCCGTCAACCGTTCAGCGTTATGGAAATGTCTCAAAAAGATTGGTTGTCCTCCGATTTTAGTGTCGATTATTTGCTCCTTCCATGAAGGCATGAGGGCAACAGTAGTTGAAAATGGTGATCGATCCCCGGACTTTGAGGTGACGAATGGTACCAAGCAGGGGTGTGTCATGGCTCCCTTGCTGTTCAACATTTACTTCTCCCTAATGCTTCGAGTCGCCTTTCAACATTGTGTAGAGGGCATTCCAATCTGCTATCGCATGGATGGAGATGTTTTCAACATCAAACGCCTACAGACGAAGTCAAAAACACAAACCACAATAGTCCGCGACCTGCTCTTTGCGGATGACTGCGCTTTGGTTGCACATACACAAAGTGAAGTTCAGGCTCTGTTCAACTGTTTCCACACTACTGCAGAAAGGTTTGGACTCACGGTGAGCAGAAAGAAAACAGAGGTTCTGCACCAAAGCTATCCTATTTCGTCGGATTCTAAAGCCATCGTAACTTTTGGGGCTCGCAGTTGAACGCTGTGGATCGATTTTGCTACCTTGGTAGCTACCTCTCCAACACTACTGCAATCGATGATGAAATTACGGTTAGGATTGCCAAGGCTGGTGCTGCTTTTGGTGGTTTGAGTGGACGACTCTGGAAGGAACGGGGTGTGTCGTTGGCTAATAAAATATCTGTCTATAAGGCAGTTGTGTTAACCATTATGTTGTATGGATGTGAGATATGGATTACTTATAGGCGCCATATACGTAGACTCGATCAGTTTCATATGAGATGTCTACGGGTTATCGCTAACGTTAAATGGGAGGATAGAGTGCCAAATACGACTTGTGGTATCTTGGGTATCGAGGCGTTTTTGTTACAGGCACAGTTTCGTTGGTCGGGACATGTCATCCGCATGCCGGACACAAGAATTCCCAAACAGGTGTTTTTCGGACAGCTGGCTTCTGGAGTTCTTCTGGAGAAAACCTAAAAAAAGTCGGACTGGATTCTAAAACCTTGGGTGTCGTTGCGCTCGAGCGTTCACAGTGGAAGACACGCTCACAAGCGGCAGTTTCTGCCTTTGAGGAGGCGCGCATTGCAGCTCTAGTTGGAAAAAGAGGACGGCGTAAGCAGGTGGCCCGGGATGGTAACAGCACAGGGGTGTGGGTTTGTGGAACCTGTGGTCGTCGATGTTCATCAAGAATAGGCTTGTTCTCGCATCAAAGGACTCATCAATGACACAATCCGTCGAACGCGACGATGTATTCCATCGTGTGGGTGTGTATTTGTGTGTTTGTGTATCTTATATATAGAAGTGGAGGTTGAATCAAATATAAAATTATATAAATAAACAAGTGAATGAATTAGTAAAGATTAAACGAATGCTAGATTAAATAAATAAATTAACTAGAAAAAATGAATAAACAAACAATAAACAAACATAAAATAAAATAAATATTGATTAAATAATTTAATAAATCATTCCAATATGTGTCGGTATGTATGGTTTTGCAGGTTTTTGCCCTATGTGTTTGTGTCTTAAGTACTCTGAAAATGAACTTAAAATTAAATCGAACTTACAAAAACTCCTTTAAACACTCTTTTCTCTTTCTCTCTCCATCCCTCTCTCCTTCTCTCTCTTACTTTCTTCTTCCATCCATCCCTCTACCTTCCTCCTCTACCTTCCTATGAAAGCGTTTGGGTGCATACGTGTGTAAACTTGAGTATTCGTACGTGTGTATATATGTTTGTGTGTACGTGTGTGTACGTGTGTGTATATGTGTGTGTATGTGTGTGTGTGTGTGTGTGTGTGTGTGTGTGTGTGTGTGTGTGTGTGTGTGTGTGTGTGTGTGTGTGTGTGTGTGTACAGCTGTCTGCAGTGCGATTACAATAGCGTCGGCATACTGTTCGGACATAAAATTGAAATTATTGAATGATGAAATTTCAATGCATCAGCGATTTTAACCGCAGACATTTCGCTCGCATTTTGATGATGATGATGATGACTAAGGTGATGATGATGATGAGTAAGATGATGATGATGACTAAGATGATGATGAGGATAGTGAAGATATTGATGATGGTGAAGATGATGATGAAGATGATGATGATTACTAAAATGATGATAATAATGATGACGACGATGAAGATGACAAGATGATATTTTACTCTCATGTGAAAATGGCTTTCACGACGATGATGGCTGTTATGGTAATGATGGCGATAATAATGATGTTGATGACAATGAAGATGATAATTATGCTAATCAATGTATCATGATATCAATGACAGAATGATGCGCTGATATGCCTGAAAATGAAAAATTATGATACCGTATCATATGTTTGAAATATAACTAAGCTAATATAATATATAAATATATATATATATATATATATATATATATATAAAGAGAGAGAGAGAAAAAGAAAAAGAGAGAAAAAGAGAGAGAGACAATGAGAGAGAGAGAGAGCATTGAAGTTAGATGAATAGAGAGGTTGGTTTTCCATTAAATTGCATAGGTTGAATATGTAACTAAATCCCAAGTCATTTCATATTTGTAATAATGATGGAACAGTTAACGATGATAATAAAAATACTGTTATCATAACTACTACTACCTACTACTACTACTACTACTACTACTACTACTACTACTACTACTACTACTACTACTACTACTACTATTACTACTGCTGCTACTACTACTGCTACTGCTGCTACTACTACTACTTCTGCTACTACTACTGCTGCTGCTGCTGCTGTTGCTACTGCTATTACCACTACTACTACACAGACTGCACACATATACGCTCAGATACACACACACATACATGCATACATAAACAAATATGTGTGTGTATGAATGTTTGTATGTATGTACTTGTGCATGTTTGATAGTTCATTCACCTGACGAATGTACCATATATCTATTATTTTAATATCAATCAGTCAAATAGATCAATCAGTCAACCAATCGATCAATCGATTATTCAGTAATTCAATCAACCTGTCAATTAATTAAAAATCACTATAGAATAAATAGAATAAATAAAAATAAAATAAAATAAAGAAAAAATAAGCATAAATAAGCATACAGAAAAGACAATAATACACCGTGCTTGAGTTTCTAAACATAAAAAATTTAATCTCAAAAACAAACAAGTGCTTCATCGATAAAATAAAATACAATCTCCATGCATGTAGTATGTATGTCTGTGTGTGTGTATGTCTGTGTATGTATGCGTGTGTATGTGTGGGTATGTATATATGTGTGTGTATGTGTTTTGTTTATTTGTACGTGTATGTATGTATTTTATGTATGATTGTATTTATATCTGCTTGTCTGCAGGTATGCGTATAAATGTTTTCTTTAAAATATGAAACATGTACGTACATACACACATGTTGAATGCGTAAGTTCAAATTTGTAATGAAAGTCATAAACATTCGAGAGCATGATGATATATTTTAGAGACATTCCCTAAACAACCGATCAAGCTTTGGTTTGTTTTACGAATATTCATCCACCCAATGGCCGTATTTAGGTACATGCCTAGTATACGTGACCATTTAGGTATAGGTATTTCTATATAAATACCTTGCGTACCGGTAATTTTTAAACTGGTATTATTATGTACATCCGACTTAATACGTTTGGATTTTTCAAAATTGAAAATCAATACGGATTGGTCGGAGAAATTTTTTGTTATAAAATTTAATCCTCTACGCCCAAAATGGAGAAAAAGGAATGTTTATTATTGGACAAACAAGCAAATTAACAAACAAACAATCACACGAAAAAACGAATGAACAAGATATAAGATGTATGGGTTCTATTTTATTAATGTTGCATCTTTTTTATACCACCTTTGTCTATTTTTGTATGTACATATTTTAGAATGTATGCGATTGTATTTGAGTTGTACGTTTGTGTGTTTGTGTTTGTATATTATTTGTGTTTGTGTTTGTGTGTTAACGGTTTAAACGGAAGTCTGATTGCAGGGATTTTCATCGCTTTTACGTTTTTTTTGTTATAAAATGACTTTTAGAAATTTCTAAATCTGAAAAATAATGTTTTTTATTTTTTATGCAGTTTTGTATCAATTCATACAGTTATGTTTTGTATTTTGTATCCATTAATACAATCCATGTTTGTATATTTGCCTCAACCACAATAAAATTCATCAGTTTTGTATGTTGAATTCATACAGCAATATTTATGCTTGTACTTAGTACTAAATTGTGTTTTCGTATGGGTGCATTTACTCTCAAACCCATAAACATCCGACAAAAAATTTGTTGGCAAATTTATAGGGAAAAAATTTTTGCGACTGAAGCTTTTAAAGATCCATCTATTAATTATTGCATTCATTTATTTGTTTGTTCGTCTGTCCATTCATTCATTCACTCATTCACTCATTCATTCATTCATTCGTTTATTTATTCATTCACTTGTATATTTATTCATTCGTTTTTCAAACATTCACAATGTTGAATTGTGTGTTTGTTTATTAGCTTTCGCTTTTGTTTATATGAATAAATAAAAATAAATATATAATTAACTACAGGATATATATATATATATATATATATCATATATATATATATATATATATATACCATCATAATCATCATCAAAGACATAATGACATCATCATCTTGACTTAGAGAGGGCAGGTCTTATCAATAGATTGAGATTTCTCCTTAATTGCCTTCATCATGGTCTTGCGTTTCAGCCGGAGTGAGGCGTGTAGGGGCTTCTTGAAAATTAACGACGACGATGACGATGGCGACAATGCCGGTAATGATGATGACGACGACGGTGATGATGGTGGCGGTGAAAGTTGCTGCTGACGGATTTGTTGATCTCGCTGTGTTTGTTGTTGTTGTTTTGGTGATGACGTCATTGCCAAAGGTGATGTTGTTTGCTGTTGATGATGTTTTTGAACGTTATTTGCCTGCTGCTGCTGTTGTTGTTGCTGGATGTGGTGGTAATAATGATAACGACGTTCTAACGAGCAAATATTTTGTTGTTGTTGTTGATGGGGTTGTTGGTGACATGAATCGTAGTCGTAACAATCTTGTTGTTGCTGCTGCTGATAGCGATGGAAACGTTCTTGTTGCTGTTGCTGTTGTTGTTGTTGTTGTTGATGATATTGATATTGATGTTGTGGTTGGTGTTGCTGATGCTGTTGTTGTTCTTCAATATGCCTCTCATAGCACAACTCAAAAAATGGATTGTTTCTTGAGAACGGCGACCGACTAATTTCATCAAAGCCAGCACCAACACCACTGATGAAGCCGTCACTACCTTTGCCACCACTAGCGTTAACATCGACGCTACCAAGTCCACTCACATAGTTTTTATCTAAGTTGTAGTAGTAGTGGTGGGGGTGGTTGTTTGAGTTGGTAAATTTTTGATTTCTGTTCAGAATCCCATCACTATTGGAGATCTCCTTACCAGAACCAAGTGCTCTGGCTCTGGCGAGAGATTTCGGAAGATAGTATTGTTGCTGTTGTTGTTGTTGCTGCTGCTGAAATTGCTGCTGCTGTAGCATTTGTTGTTGATGGTACTGATGTTGCAAATTGAATATTTGATGTTGTTGTTGGAAGAGATGATGATGTTGTTGGTTGTAAAATTGGTTGTTTTGTGGAGTGTGTGACTGGTCTGCATAACTTTGATGTTGTTGCTGTTGCTCTTTATGTTGATACGTTTTTGAGAGTGAACTATCAGCGTTGCTATGAACAACAACATCAACTCCATCAACGAAGCCGACATCTTCAACACTACGTTTTAGTTGCTGAGTTGCATCCGATGTCTCAGATGAGTTCAGTCTCATGCCTATTTTCTCGATGTTGTAGTAGTCGAGCAGCGTGTTGCGGCGATGTGACGTTATGAAATAATCTGTGTTTGCTTTCGAAATTTTATCTTCAATGTAATTTCTCTCACTGTTGTGGTCACCATCGCCGCCACTTGCACCACCATCAGTGGTCCGACTGACCAGAGCAGCAGCATCTTCATGAACGTTGTTCCCGAGTGTAGCAGAACCACTGCAGGCCACGACGGCAGCGCACGTGTCGTCCCGTCCACCGTGCTGACAAATGGGATCGGAGGTCCTCCTCAATACAGAAGAACTTCTTTCATCTTTGCCGCCCAGTGCTTCAACTTCTTCCTGCTTCAAATTTGCAGCAGCGTCAGATGACGAACTTCGAATTTTTCGATTTTTGTTCAAGTCTGTTTCTGTGTCCACCATTTTTGAGGCATCCAGCTTGGAGGAGGTTGACCCCTGAGGGACCCCCAGGAAAGATCCTGGATGCAGTTTCTGCTGGATCCCGTACGATCTGTAATTGTAGGTGTACATGTTTGTACATGCAACGTGTTTCCAGGCAGCATTCGTACGCAACACAGGTTAGCATGATCTCGTAGGAACAAGTAAAAAAAATGATTAATACTTTTGACCTTGTTAATAAATGCGGAAAAATTTACAATATTTAAATAAATTGACAAAAACACACGTACAGACTAAACTGAAGAATAATATCAACAAAACAAAAAAAAGCAGTATAATTACTTGTATCCCACGCCAGCGCCACCCCCAGTAGCAGCAGCGGCAGAAGTTGAAGCAGCTGTGGTGGGCGAGGCATCAACTCTGTCTTCAGGAGATTCAACGAACGATTCGTTCTCGCACTGAACAGTGATGTCGACGGCACAACCTCGCGACAGACGCTTGTTCACTGACGCCTTCCTCGCCGCTTCCTTGTAACATTCTTGCGCGTCGTGAAGTCGGCTCATCCACTGTGCCTGCATTGTGTGTAGTGTGTGGTGGTGCAGAGTGAAGATAAGTGGAAGGGGGTGTGGGGGTGGTTTAGTTGGTTGGAATGAATGAATGAATGAATGAATAAATGATTGAATGAATGAATGAATGAATGAAAAATCCGCAAGTAAATGAGCAATGATTTGATTGATTAAACAATTTCGAAATTGAAAAGTTGAAAAATCTAACAAAAAATAATGCAACTAAAAATATGTAGGGTATAAAAAATAAAAAGTAAATTTAAGCAAGAAACAAACCTGTTAACGAAAGCTCAAAAAAATTGTTTGGAAGTTGAAACTATTTGAATGAATAAATGAACGAATGAATGACTGAATAAATGAAGAATAAAAGACTGAGTGATTGAATGGACGACTGATTAAATGAACGACG